TATATATATATGACGTAAAATTTATAATCAATAAAACCAAGAAATTTCAGTAATTTCAACAGAGAAAATGCAATTATTAAATGACCACAGCACTTTTTTACTAATATTTCTTACAGCTCTTGTTAAATAAAAACAGGATTTATACAGTTTTACATGCTTTTCCCCAAACTTCAATACAGTAAATTAAATGTGGAACAATCATTACATTATACAATACATAAAGAGTTTATCATTCAATAACTTTTACTTTATACAACAATGCAATTTACTTTGCTGTTTTTATTCTTCAGTTTATTTTTATTACATTATCATTTCTAAAATGGACAACTTTCGCTTTTTGTAACAATCACAAAATATATTAGAGCTTTTACATAATGCAACTGAAAGTTTTACAAAATGCATTCAAGGCTTTTATTATAATTTGTGTCAGTTATTACATAATTTTAATGAGGTTTTATTACATTTTGAAGCCCAGTTTTATTACATATTGCAGTGTTGTTACAAACTGCAGCTTTACAGACCTTACTGAACTTTCTTCTGTCCATGTTTTGTATTTAGGCTTTGCAGGGACCAATCCAAGCTACGGTTTCCACAGTGATTATACTCAGGGACAACATCACCCCCGGGGCCGCAGTGCTCACGGCCCGGCTGCAGGCTTCTGGACTGGCATGGGGACAGGAGGAGTGCTGGGTTACCTTTTGGGTCATCACAGGTTTGTTGAGAGGGAGTTTAATGATTATAGTGTCTTCAGGTGGAAGCACACGCTTTGATTTGGCTGTGCTGTTGTGTTGCAGGAACCAGCCCTGCAGACCCACACCTGAAAGAGCTGACCACTCACCTGGACCACGCACCGCTACAGGTAACCAGAGCACATATTTACCTAACAGRGCCGAAACATGAGTCCTGTTGGACTGCTGCACATCCAGACACACTTATCTGACYCTTTTCTTTGTTTTCAGGCTTTGGAGGAACCAAGAGAAGATAGAAGATGTAGAAGAAAACTTGTTTTGTGACCCATCGCATCAAAACGAGGATCAAGTCCAAAACTGGAGAAACAGACAGATTTAGGGTTTTGATTTAAAAGTGTGTAAAAACTGCATTTTGTCAAAATATAATGAACTAATGCCTTATTTATGTATTGTTTGAAAGAACTGTCTAAAATATAATCCTAAACATTTTTTGATGCATTTATTTAACAGTAGCAATAAAAAAAAAACGATTTTGAGGAAAAACGTCTTAAAATTGTGAGTTTTTCTCTGTGAGATAGAATTTTAATTTCTTTCCAACTGGGAAATCCTAATATATAAATAATATATGACATTTCCTCTTTATATTGACATCAAAAAACATTCAATAAATTTACATAAAATCAGGATTCAGATCAAATATTAATGTATTATAACCAACAAGACAAATTAGGTCATATCTCTGGATGAGCTCATGATATCAGGATGATCCAGGTATCAAAATGTAGTTTTTAAAGTCAGAAATTTGAAAATGTAAATAGGTCGTTTTGACCAAATTTGACTTAATCCTCATTTTGATATGATGGTTAGACATATGTGAATAATGTCTGATGGTTATAGTTTTATAAAACATTGCCTTGGCTCTACCTGGCTGCTCAGTGTGTTTTAGACTCTGTTTAATCTTCAGCCTGCAGGAGAAAATCAGACGTGATTTTTATCAGATTTTAGATTTTATCAGTAGTTTTTATATMTGTGATGTATTGAATGTTCTGCTCAATAAACCTTTTCTTGGTCCAGAACAATGACTGTTTACTGGTGTTCCAGTTATTTTCTACAAGAATAACTACATTTTATTATTATTATTATTATTCAGTGCTAAATTATTT